CAGTGTGTTTGTTGATATTTAAATATTTGATGTATGTTAATGTAATTTCAAGTTCTAGAGATTATTAAGATATATGAAATTGTTGTTTTTAGGTTATTGATATATATTTTATTTTGTTACTTTATTATTGAATCAAAAAATTTTGAGACGTGAGATGGATAAATTTGTTATTAGACAAAAGAAGAATTTAGAATTTGTAAGTAATAGAGACAATGAAAAAGAAACTTCTTCTTCTATAGAGAAAGAAAGTGTGGTTTCAAATAATGATATTATTGCTGATCCGGGATTACGAAAACCAATTAATGATTATCCATTGGAAATTAGAGATGTAATAAGGAGAAGATACTTAGCAAAAGGTCCTTCTAAGCCATCGATGGATAAATTTCCACACACTTTGACGGGCAAAATCAAAAGACGATTTCAAAGTTATTGGTTTGATAAGTTTAACTGGTTGGAGTATAGTGTCGGCAAGGATAGAGCATATTGTTTGCATTGTTATTTGCAGCGCTTTCAAAAGTTGGCATCTCAAAAAAAAATTTCTACGGCCTCAAACAACTCTTACTCCTTTACACAAATAGAAGGTACGTTACACTTTGCCAATTATGGTAGTTACTATTATGAATTTTGTTTTTTTATTAAATGAATTTTTGCCCCCCCATGAAGTCCTCCCTGGCTCCGCCAGTGCGTGGGGCAACTTATTTTGTGTATTCAATTGTTTAAACTTACTGCTAGTAGCTGCAGAGGAAGCCATTTGATTATAATATGGAGTACTCCGTAATTAATAAGAAGCTTATATATATAATAATAAGAGCTTAGCTTATAATATAAGGGCTTTCATTTCAGCAATAACTGGGAAGTATTACCTAATTTTGGAAATCAAGTGTTCCTAGCAGGAATAAATAGATGAGAGTTGGGAGTTTGTATAAACAAGTGTTTCTGGCACGAAAACCAGCATTTTTGCTCTCTTCTTTTTTTTCATATCTGGTACAATTTATTTTATGAGGGTTAATGAGGAAAATTATTAGTGTGTGAAAATATGGAGACAAAAACAGTGGATACTCTTTTTTTCCTATCTGGTACTAATTTTTATGCATTTTTATATATACTCCTTTCTTTTTTACTTTCGTAGCAATATCACAATGAGTGATCAACAACAAGATACCAAAAAAAAAGGAGGATATGAGCAATGGACAACCAAAGAAAGTGATGTATTGTTAGAGCTCATGGTAGATGCAACTGCTCGAGGATGGCGTGATAATAGTGGTATTTTTTCTAAGCAAACAATGGAAGAGAGGATACTTCCTGAGCTTAATAAAAGGCTTGGGTGTCATAAGAACTATCTCAATTACCAAAGCCGATTGAAATGGTTTAAAAATAAATGGAACGCTTATTCAGAGCTTATGCGTTTTAGCTCTGGTTTTGGATTTGACTCTACTACAAAGATGTTTACTGCCACTGATGAAGTATGGGCAGATTAATTCAAGGTAAGTACATTGTATGAAAAATTATTGGAATAAATAAATTTTTTGAAAGATGTAATGCAATAATAAATTTGTTTTTATGTTGTTTTATAGGCCCATCCAAAGCATAGCAACAAGTTACGTTATGAAAAATTTCAGGATTATGAGAACTTGGAAATCGCAATTGGTAACGGTGTAGCTGTTGGAAAAAACTCAATTGGGTTAGGTAGT